TGTTGTCCTGATATGCCAAGGTTGTGGGTTCAACCCATGGTCAGTGCACATGCAAGAATCAGCCAATGAATAAATAAGTGGAACAACAAAACCGATGTGTGTTTTTTTTCTCTCTCCCTTTCTCTCTCTCTCAAACCAATATACATATTTTTATTTTTTTCTCTCTCTCCCTTTCTCTCTCTCTCTCAAACCAATATACATATTTTTTAAAACTTATATCCCTTTGAACTATATAGTCAGATTGTTTGGTATTCCATTAGAAGTATTTATTTTAGAGAGCTGGGGCAAGAAAATGGCTTCATTTTATTCATTTCTTAACCTTAATCTACTATTATATGAACGTGGAAAAATGCTCCGAAGGAATTCTTAACATAGATTGGCTATGACATTGGATTTATGTCATTTTAGGAAAGGATTTTTTGGGACCTCATTTTGCAGACTTTATGCAGTTACTATTTCTATTGAAATAACTGAAAATTCTCTATACCTAAAATATTATTATGTTACCAAGAATATTATGTGTTAATACATATACTGAACACATCCATTAGTTGGGGGATATGAGAGACACATTCCTTGATATTTTTGTCTCATCTTTCTGTATATTTAGGTTTACTTTTCATGCCTTTTTTCTGTCTTTATTTCTCCTTTTCTACACAAAAATCTATAGAGGAACAAAAATATGGTGAGATTTCTCTTGGGATACTGTAGATCTCTGAAGTAAGTTGGAATAATAGTTCTTTTTCTTGATTGGTCTCCACACCATTTCAAACTACATTGGAAACTTCAGCCATTCAGGACATGATTCCAATAATCGAGTGTTGCTATTTAGCTGAGCCGAATGACACAGGTTCCCTGGATCAAAGGAATCTGTGATATATGCAGAAGACAGCCATGTTATTATTTCTATCTGGGAGGAGCAGCAAGCTGGAGGTTTTGAGGGGGTGGCAAGGCTGTGGACAGTGGCCCATGATGGTCATGTGTTTTAAGTGACAGGATTCTGTAATAGTCTCAGCTTGTTTCTAGGTAGTGTTATGAAAAATTGTGTGGTGTTGGATTCCACTTTATAACAACTTTGTTTTAAATAGTTCCTTTTGAACTGACTCTCAAAACATCATGCAAGGGAGATATAGTTTGACCTCCTTCCACATCTCCCTATTGGTATTTTTTGATATCAGTCTATTTTCTGTCCTAGGTTTATTTGAGTCTCAGCACAAATGAAATTAGAAATCCCAAGACATAACTCTGTCTTTTATGCGTTTCCTCTCTGAGTCTGCCTTGCCAACCTGCAGTCATTCCAGTTACATCTTCCCTAGGCTTTGGGTCATTGTAATGTGTGTGTGTGAGAGAGAGAGGGAGAGAAAAGAAGAGAGAGAGAGGGAAAAGAGAGAGAGAGAGAGAGAGAGAGAGAGAGAGAGAGAGAGAGAGAGAGAGACATCTATAGCAATACTCACCAAGTTTTAAGAGAATTTAGTGTGCTCCTCCTTTACAACCATTGAATATCACCTACTGTGAGGAAGTTTTTCTTTTTATGTATCATTTTAGAAAACATACCTGTGTGAGGGCCTTAAAGGTCTCAGTGTACACTGGCTCCAGGGATACCCCGCTTGTTTCTGCAGCATGTTGAATTTGGTGCAGCCACTTCCGTCTGGCACTGTTCCTCAGACCCTCAAAATGGCTTCTTTCTAAGCTGGTCATCAGAAACTCCACCAGGCTTTCCAGAACCTGGTCTTCATTGCCCCTGAGTTCAGATACAACCAATTCTATGTATCTCTGAAACTGTTTTGAAGACAACCTCACTTCTTGACCAGGGTGTGGCTTTGGAAATTGGATGTGTAATTTAGCTAAAAGACATAAACACAAAACCCAAGGACTAACCAAAAGCTCATTTACCTGTGGAAGAAATTTTCATTCTCCTCTTACAGCAAACTGAAGTCTCTTGACAACTGTCGCCCCTTCCCCTAATGGAAAATCAGGTATATTGAAGGCATCTAAGCCCAACGAAACATGTTACAGTGAATTCCTATGATAAACTCAAGATGAGTCCTATGTCATCTTTCCTGTTTTTGTTTTGTTTATTTAATTCTACCACTTAGTCAGGCAAAATCCCAGGGTCAACTTTTATTCCACCTTACCTTTTCCCATCCATTTCCAATAGACTACTTAACTCTCTCCTGTTAGTCATGGACAATGTGTCGTCCTCACCATTCCTTCTTCCATAATACTAAACCAGTATTAATCACTTTATAAGTGGATTACCAATGGTAAGGCTCAATACATATTTATGAAATTAAATTAAAACACAACTTGAATTATGCAATTTCTTGGTTCAAAGTATATTTGGATCCAGTCCATTTTCCAAGAATATTTGCCCATAATACCATATAGGAATTATTTCAGTATCCCCATTCTATTCACGTTCCCTGACTATGCCTTGCACACTTCTGCACCCACATCTTTTATTTTTTTAGCATACAATCACGCTCTACTACCAAACCTAAACATTACTAATAACTTACATCTTCTTTTATGCCCTTGCCATTGTTCCACTCCCTGCCTATACACATCCCCGCACTAGTATTCTGAAATTTTGCTTTTGCTTTATCTTTTCCTTCCTTTTCTTTTCCCAATAGTGTTCGTGTGTGTGTGTGTGTGTGTGTGTCTGTGTGTGTACTTCTAACCATATGTGGTTTCATTTTATCTTTTTGTATACTTTAGAAAAAGGACATCATACTATATGTACTTTTCTGGGGCTTGCTTTTTAATTCAACATTATGCTACCATATACATCTATGTTGTTCCTGTGGCTGTGGCTTACTCATTTTCCCTATTATATAATATGTCATTTTGTAAGTATACCATCATCAATTTATTTATTCTATCAATGGGCATTTAGGTTGTCTCGAATATTTTGCTCTTACGAACAGTGCTATGAGCATTTTTGTACATGTCTCTTGGTGCACATGTGTAAATTTATTTGATATTTATAAATTAATAAGTCATAGAGTATGCACCTTTCCTCTTTAAAATTCAAGAAGGCTTCCACCTGAAAGATAATAACACTCATACTATATTAATTATTTGACGTTAACAAATACTGCCTCTTTTAGTCATCTTATTATATGATTTTTGCTCTCTAGCATCCACTCATCTTTCTCCTAGCAATTGTATCCCAGATTTTGCTTTGGGGAAACTACTCCACTCCAACCTCAGGTCAAATGTTTGAGTGGGGTTCCACTTGGTAGAGGTCCTAGAGGTGGAGCATGCATCTCAGCTCTAAGCCAGTCAGGACATCATATTCCCCTCACCAGAGTAGTTGGGTTAGTCCAGACTAATGCCAGAATCTTTACTTGAATTATTAGGAAGAGGACATTTTCCTTCTTATTCTCACTTAATTTGAATAAACGTGTTGGGATGTGAGATTGAACCTGATCACCATGAGGGTAAAGAGTGTTTGAAAGTGGAGTCAACACATAGAAGAGAACAGGACCAGACTGAAAGAGAGAGGAAGAGAAAGAAGCAGATACCTGCCCTGAAGTCATTATTTGAACTCCCAAATCTGGTGTGTCCTGAACTAGCCCTGGACTTTTCCATCACATGAACCACTAATGTCCATTTTTGCCAAACCACTTTGTTAAGAAAAAAAAAGACTGTTAGTATGTATTGAACTCTAATTAATGATATGCATGCTGAAATATTTAGGGAGGAGTATATGGATGTCTGTAATTTACGTGTAATGCATCAAAAATAAGAAGTAGATGGAAGGACAGAAAGATGGAGAGATGAACAGATAGCTAATAAAAAAGTTTAGTAAAATGTTAATGATAGAAATCTAGGTAGCAGATATATAGATACTCACTATAAAATTCTTCCAGCTTTGCTGTATGTTTTAAATTTTTCATAATAAAATATTGGAGGGGAGAGGAGGACATAGGAAACAGTTTGAAAGGACTCCCATGGATTAAATATAAAAATATATGAGTGTTATAATGGTAGTGTTGGATTAAAATTTACTGTATAAAATAGGAAAAACTGAATTTATACTGTTATGAATGAATAAACAAAAAGTTTGACAAGAAATGGAATGTTTATATAGTTGCAAAATAATTATTAATTACAAAGGAAAAGAAGAGTAACTTTAAAATGGAGGAGCCTGACTGGTATCATCTTCTCATGAGATTTCTGATAGCATTCAGTGAGAAGAACGCAGCATCACTTACATGACATTCCTGCCAAAAATGAACAAACTAAATGTAATCATGAGGAAATACTAGACAAACCTAAAAGAAGTAAAAATTACAAACAAATTTGCCTGCAATCTGAATA